GTCCTCATTGGAGCGGATATCCTTCCGTCCATTCATTTAAGTGGCTCACTGACCAACATCTGTGGGTCTCTCCTCGGGCAGGAGACCATTTTCGGCTGGGTACTCACAGGTCCAGTGCCTCAGGTGATGAATCAAATCTCATCGTTCTCGAGTCAAATTTCCAGACGACCTATCACACTGGTAGAAGACTCGGGGTCTTTTTACGACAGCAATTTCCTTCCAGCTCCCTCCGCAGAGGTTCTCGAAATATTTCCAAAATATGCACTGTATGAAAGCTCTACGCTCCGGTCCGAATTCAAGCCTGAACTCGAAGGTGAATGTTAGATCAACATAGCCTCGCCAGACTATGTAACCGGGCGGCAATTTCCAATGTCTTAAGTGTGCTTCTCACCCGTTCCAAGATCGTTACTATGTGTCTTCGACGCCTTTATTTCAACTTAGTTCTCCGCACCCAGATATGGCCCCCCGTCCCCGTGCCAACCGCACCAGGGAGAACCGACGTGCTTGGGAAATTGGCTCCTACCGTTGCCGAATCTGCCAAGGAGTCCATCCGCTACGGACCTACCACTAATTTCTTCTCCTGAGCCCCGAAGAGAGACTCCGAGCTGTCCTTATCAACCAGTATTGCGGGAACTGCTTGGCTCACCAACTCTCCGGCAAGAACAACCACACGCCACTCCACGTACCCACGTCTCATCGTCCAGCCCGCTCAGCCGCGGGAGCATCGTCGCCATCTAAATCGAACCCGCTCAGCCGCGACTGTACCGTCGCCATCTGCATCGGCTCACGGCGAACGACACACTCGTCTCCCCGCGAGACGCCCCGTCGTAGGACCCACGGCGCCATCCACAGATGGCCAACTCTGTGCCAACTCCGTGCGCCCCGGTCCCAACTCGCTCTCGCGCGCTCGGAGGGGCGCTCGGATCCACAATCCACGATCCACACGGCAGCAAAAGCATTATAAGGCATAGAGTTAGTTAGTTACGTTTTCACCCCCGCTTCAACCTGTCGACATACCACGCGAATACTCAATAAATACCTGAACAATTTATATATATACACACAACGAAACCCATCGGCCTTTCCTTTCTGTGACGACTGCTAGGAGTTTAAACTAGAACATACACCTCGCCGTTGGATAATTGAACCTCGATCCGCCCCCCTACAAACACTGGCTATAATAATTATACGATCTGGTTCAGATTTTGCACTCTAGAAGATAAAGTCATCCTCTACGATTCTGCGTTTTTAGTTTTCTCGTATCGTCGAAATTGCGGATGCCTCAGATTCTCGCCTTTTGTGGAAGCGGAAGTGGGCGGGGCAAAGTTTTGAAATATTCTTGTAGCAGTGACATATTACAGAAGTCTGGATCCAAAACATCGTTGCTCTAAATCTTATAGTCTTTGAGCACTAGGCGCTGAAGGGGACGGACAGACGGACGGCCGGACAGACGGACAGACAGACATGGCTCAATCGACTCGGCTATTGATGCTGATCAAGAATATATATACTTTATGGGGTCGGAAACGTCCAGAAGGACGTTACACACATCCACTTTTACCACAAATCTAATATACCCCAATACTCATTTTGAGTGTCGGGTATAATAATGCATACAATACATACGCTACAAACAACGTCGCATAGTCATCAGCCAGTTGTTTTGGTTTTCATAATACAGACAGAAATTTAATTGTTATGCTCTATCGCGAAAATTGAACCAAAAGGTAACAAACGAAAGACAATTTATTGTGCATCTGCACATATGTATGTAGGTATGTACGCGCGTAACATCAAAGAGGGGTGTTAATAAAGTTCAGTTACATTACGTTAAACTGCTGATGTTTATGCGTTCGGACTTGCTAATGAATTAAATGTAAATTGGACAAAACTCGATCACGTTTTGCTGCTTTGTAGACTCTTGCCCGCCTGACGTTGGTCACCAGATGCGCTGTATATGGTTCCTGGCCGTACTGACGAATCTTCCGCCAAGCCTATATTTAGTGATTTATGACTAAGCAGCACTAAATACTCTTGGCGATTGAGGCTGATCTGTTCTACTTGCAGATTCCGAACTCGGTGGTAATATAAGGTACAGAAAATATGAATTATGGTTGGAGTTGGAGAAACCTCGACCACTGTTTGCCTACGCCAGCTACCAGAGTAGTCTTCTCGAGACTATACCGCAATGGGGCATCTTAGGTACACTTCCCTGCAACATAGGTTATGTCAGCACGTGCACGGCACTAATATGAAAATATACCTTTTTTCCCAAATATATCTGCACTACATTCTTCTCATTCACTGACCACTGGACTGCACGGCACTTGTAATTATATGCTTCCAGCATATATATGTGGAAATATATATTTCCGGACAGCGCTATATATATATGTGTGAACTGTGTATGTTGCTCGCACTCTTGAACTATCACGTCTTTACAGATCGATCAACTTTCTTCTATTGTTTAAAGCAGTAATAGACGATGGACTGAGTATCATGTGCAGCAGAGCTTTTGAGCTTTTTACTAACTGTGCAATCGTATGATCTAGAACATTCGCAGCACAGCATAGCTTAACTGTGAAATCGTACGATTGCCGTCTATGCTTCCCACTGTCCGTCGCTTGTATGCGTGCGTGAGCGTTCTTACTTAAGAGCGGCTAAAGCTTTGATCCAACCTTAAGAGCGGCTAAAGCTTGATCGTTCGAAATATCACTAGGGGGTCTCACGAGACGAAAGAAGATAACCAATTCCCTATATTTTTGTGCTGGCTACTACAGACTGCACGGATTTTGTGTTTGCGTTTCGCGCAAACCTGCTTTCAAGATGACTACCAATTGCTACTTGTCAAGAAGCCATTACGGAGCCGATCGCAGCTTCTGAAACTGTCACCAATCATTGACAAAGACAATCTACTCAGGGTCAGGTTCGCCTGGTCACATCGGCAATACATTTGGAAGTTGCCACGGATCTCAGCACTGAAACGTTCCTGGCTTCACTGCGGCGCTTCATATCTCTACGTGGCAAGTGTGCCAAAATCTACAGTGACAACGGCACAAATTTCATCGGCGCGAAACGCTAACTCGACCCTACTGGCGTCACAGCAAAACACAGACCTGGTTACTCATACCCTGGCGGATAACGTCATACAATGGGTATTCATTCCGCCTGGTTCACCTTATTGGGGTGGAAAATTGGAATCGGCAGTTCGATCTGTTAAACTGCACCTTCGACGAGTCATAGGAACCTCAATGCTTACATTTGAGCAGATGCGTGCCCTACTTGCGCAAGTCAGCGCAGTGGTCAACTCACGTACGGATACTGAGGATATATCGCCGGCTCACTTCTTAATTGACTGACTTGGGTCACATTACTGGGGGTCGATTGGGATACTGGCAGAGTATCCGGTCCATGTACCAAGGCTTCTGGAAACAATGGCATCAGTAGTACCTGACCACTCTGCAACAGCGTCCAAAGTGGGCCACATCAATCCCTAATATCTCGATGGGGGCCGTTGTGCTTGTTAAGGAGTCCAACAGCCCACCGGTTTCATGGCACATTGCCTATGGCATTATAGAAGCCTATCCAGGAAAGGACGAACTGGTTCGAGCTGTCAAGCTCAAGACCGCATCTGGAGAATTAACCCGACCAATTACTAAAATCGCGGTATTGCCCCGTTCCGAAACTTTGTTTCTGGGGGGGCCGGGATATTGAGGAACGCATAACAAGTCCATCGCTAAGCGAAGAAGCAATCGCCAAAAGAAAACATGAAGAGAATGGAAGAGACGAAACTTTTTTTTCAGCACCAAATAGACATCGAATTGACAAGAACAAAATAAATACAGTACACTAAAAGCAAATCCGTCGAGCATATTATTCGCGAACACATACGTACTCCGGCTTTCGCGTATTGTTGGTCTACGACTTCGAAATAATTCGACTAATTTTCAATTTTTGTTTCGGGCCAATAAATTACCACGCAGAAGCCGACACAGAAGCTGTCGCAGGAAAAAGAGCACGTGTCGGGTGTTTTAGACTCTGGGATATCAGAGGTGCAGAAAGATGACGGCGTAGGTAAGCGTAAATTCGACGAAGATTTCGTCGAGTTTTATGAGTGCGCTGGACTCGGACCGAGTTCTGCATGTTCAGGAGCACCTTCGACCAATTCAAGGTTGTCCAATCCCAGCTTTGGGATTCGTTTGGCATTGGCAGCAATGAGCCCACTTTGGGATAAACTTGGCCCTTGATTTAGAACGTGGAATTAAATTGTTGACCGTTTGCAGCATTATTGTTAACTATTTCTGTTGCTCCAAATGATGTCATTTTGGAAACATGAATTGAATGTGCGAATCGACTTCAAAAATATGCTAGAATCTTGATCTGTACGTGCTTGATCTGTAAGGGCGTGCACCCAGCCATATGCCCCAAATTATACTTTACAATCTTGAAAGAGGGGGGAGGATGTTCAGGCTAGCACAAATTGATTGCCGCGCACTGTGCCAACTCCATGCGCTCCGGAAGATCTTCAATGTCGTCGTTGGATTACTGAGCCTCGATCCGTCCCCCTACAGACAGTATGTTTATCTTGAGTAGATCTTGATCAGATGGAATCTGCGTCGGGGTCCAGCAGAAACAACGAACTGCAGAGTTTTGCAAGAGAACTAGGACTCGGAGAAACTGGGACTGTAAAGGACCCCGCCTTGAGGGTCGCGTTGAGGATGGTCTTATGAGCATGAACTGCTACATCGGTGTCTGGGTGCGCAGCATACGAACAAGGACGGTATGGACACACCGCTTTGTCGAGCTAGCGAAGCCAACAACAATGGTTTGGGCATCGAACCCTCAAGCCATCGCGATGCATCGTGGCGTAGTCTTTGTCGACGTGAAAAATCTCCATCAAGGGAGACTACGTTCTGTACAGTGATATCAGAGAGCAGATGTGGTACATGAACATCATGACTGCATGTATGCCTGATGGCCAAATCAACCGCACAAACAATTCAGAAATTTATTGTTGGCCTCCCTTGAGGGACATTCAGAAGAGAAAATATAGCTGCTATCATGCTAAGGTAATTGCTATTCAAGCGAACGGTATCATCAGTTTTCATGATGTCATCGATCCATTCCTTATGGGCAAAGACATTCGTATAGACCGAGGGAAGAGATTTCGATCCGCAGCCGATGCGGTAGCTGACAACGCCATAGACCGTGCCATTCAAGAGCAGGGGACTCCCAGTATCGCCTGCACAGGGATTCTCATCCTGATCATTTTCCAGATTTCCAGCACACATCATTTCGTCTTTGAAGGTGTGCAGCATATCGTCGCAGGTCTGGTGATCCAATAGCAAGACATCGACATGCAGAATGCTGGAGGCCAGTGGCCCACCCTGCCAAGAGAATTTGTAAAAAATGTATATAACATATATTAGAGAAGCGCACCTTGTAAACGCGTCCCCAGCCGAGAAGTGTGTAATTGATATTATATTCGGGCTCATGGATAGGCAAAGTGGCAATGGCAATGTACGGATTATCCGGCAGCTCTATCGCCAGCTTTAGTAGGGCAATGTTGTTCGTATTGAACATGGTAAAGTTTTCGGGCACATAGACATCCTTCACCGGAGCATTCACAGTCCTACCCCGCCAAAACTTCAATCGATTGGGCGTCCCCGCGACGACGAGCAACACGCGAGCACGATGCATGATCTTGCGACTGCTTTGGGCCCCAAGGTAAACGATGATCAAGTTCCTTTTGAGCAAAGAAATAATGGAAAATACCTACTCCATGGTGCAGTGGGCCGCAGTCAAAATGAACGTACGTGATACAATGACCCCGCCACAGTAATGATTGTCTCCAAAGTACTTGCGAGGTGTACGCGATCGCAGGGACACCACATATTTGGCCATTTCCAATGTCTTTTCTTCTTCGTAGAAAGGTGTCGATATCCGTTTCACCCGACTGCGTGGGATCCGACTCATCGGATGATCAGCATTAGCGGTGTAGGTGGAGGGCGAGAGAAACAGCAACAGAAAGAACAAACAACCGGATAGATAACGAATTTCCATTTACGAGTAAATAAGTTAGACATACCCCTTAAATGATTTGACTTGAAAACCAGTGGGAATCTAGAATATAAAAAAAATGCGGGGGAACCTTGTGAGTTGCTGCTGCGACCGCAACTCTACCTTTATACCCGACAATCTATCGCTAATGATCTTTATGCTGACATCGATATAGATATCGATGTTGATGGACATACCGTGCGTATAACAGCACCGTAGGGTTACAGTTTCTGTTAACTAGCAGACCGTCACAGTCGGCCTTTCCTGACAACTCGCAGCGTTTTCGCAAGATCCTTGGGATGAGTCGCCTTCCATATCGTCATCATCATCTGGCTCATCGGGTGGTAGTTCGCACCAACTTTTCATCCTTTCAGATGAATACACCGACTTGTGGTGCCTTTGCTTCCATTGTGCATGAGGGATATCTTCCACTAGATATCTGTCGTTTGGCAGCACCTTGTTGACAATACGGCTTATTCTCGACTAAGACAAGGTCACCTATATATATGTAGGGATCCTTGGTGGGCTCCCTACAAGTGAGTAAGAATCCGCTCCAGAAACTCCATCAAATATAAGCCACACATCGTGGTATTGTCTTTATTTTAATAAATGGTTACAATAAGTTTCTTTTTCTTAACACGTTCTTCTCTGCACGTCTACTCGCTCCCGCAGTCGAACTCTTACTTCCTATCGATATATCTTCCTCTACCCTTGACTATCCCTAGCGATAGATCGATACTCATTAAAGGGCTGCCAACCCTACATTCGGCCGTACTGACTCATCATTCGACCCGAATGATTGAGACCACATCTTCATATACTCTGCCACCGTATTGGTCTTCAAAGGCCCTTCACCATCACCCACTTTCTCAACAATGTACCGTCCATGTCTTAGTTTACGCGTCACAATATAAGGACCCAAGAATCTTCCCTTTAGCTTCAATCCGGTTCCAAATTGGGTACGCTTAATAGCTACCATATCATTAACTTGGTACTCTTTTTCTGGTTTCCGGGACTTGTTGAACGACTTGCAATTTTCATTTTGTATCTGCACTATGTTATCTCTGGCTATCTTGCGAATTTCTTCTTTCTCCTGCTGCAGCTCTAAAATATACTCTTCCTCTACAAGCTTTTCTAAGTCACTGTCATACTTTGTCCTCATTTTTATACCTGTCAAAATCTTAAATGGGGATATCTTGGTACTTCTCGGAGGAGTGGAGTTTATAAACGATTGTACCCTACCAACATGCTTGTACCAGGCTTTCGGATCTTCTGCGCAAAGCTTTGTTAACATAGTAGTAACGACCTTATTAATTCCCTCTACCTGTCCATTACCACGCGGCACTCCTGTCGCTATCAGCAAATGTTGGATATCCTGTTCCTTACAATATTCCTCGAAAACATTAGCAGTAAATGCAGTGCCTCTATCCGTGATCACACGCTTCGGGTTTCCAAAAACTTCGCCCTGTTTCTGCAACCTATCAACCACATCATCAGCGCCTGTACTCTTTGTTGGATAAAGCCAGACAAATTTAGAAAAAGCGTCGACAACTACTAGGACGTGGTTATACTGTTTCTTAGTCAACTCCATCGGTCCAATATGGTCAATATGATACGTTTGCAAAGGCTCATCAGATTTGTCAATTACATTCAAATACCCTTCTTTCTTTCCACATTTTGCGTCGCTCACAATGCACTCCACACACGACTTAACAATCCTATCCACTTTTCCTAACAACTCTGGAATAAAGTATTTGCGCTGCACTAAATCGATAGTTTTTTTTTACACAAAAATGACCCTGACGATGAGCAATCATTATGATTTCGCTTTCCATCCCAGATGGTATTACGATCAACTCTTTAACTGGATCCTTGTGCAAAATGTCATACTTCAAATAAAAGTCGTCGTAAGAACCCGACTCTAGCACCTTACAAATTGCTGATATCCAAATATCCTGACGTTGAGCCTGCTTTATTCGATGTCTCAGTGAATCTTCCAACAACAAACAATGCACTCTACTCAATGCATCGACGTGTTTCATCTTTGTCCCTGAACGATGCTCAATTTCATAATCGAAGTCCTGAAGAAAAATGGCCCAACGAGATACCTTAACTGGAACATCTTGTTTCCTCATCGTTAACGCAAAAGCATTACAGTCAGTAATAATTTTTATCTTTCTCCCAAGCAAATACACTCTCCACTTCTTTAAAGCCTGCACTATAGCGAGTACTTCAAGCTCGTATGAAGGATACTTTTCTTCAGCTGGGGTTGTCTTACGACTCATATATTCTACCGGGTGGAAACATTGATCCTCTGAGTCCATTTGCAAAAGTATAGCTCCATACCCATACATACTTGCATCGCAGTGAACTTCAGTTTTGCCCTTCTGATTAAACAACTTTAAAACAGGAGAGCAGGATAAATAAACTTTCAACTGATTGAATGATGCCAACTCTTCTTCACCCATTTTGAAAGAAACATCCTTTTTCATCAAGTTTGTCAGTGGTCTGGCCACGACAGCAAAATCCTTAACAAATCTACGGAAATAGGAAGTTAGGCCCAAATAGCGTTGAACTTGTTTCCTGTTGGAAAATTTTCAACTGCCGAAGTTTTATCTTGAGATGGTCTTATCGTTGAATTCTCTATTATGTAACCCAAAAAATTAACCTTGCGCTGTAACACTTGCGATTTCTCCCATTTTATGCGCAATCCTGAAATCTCTGCGATACTCAACACCTTCTTTAATTTTTCAAGTCCTTCTTGCACATCCTTTGATGGAATAATAATATCGTCCATATACAAAATCAAAATACCGTCATCTATCAATGGTCTGAAAACAGCATATATGTAACTCATAAATACTGGAGGGGAGTTAGTCATCCCAAATGGTACATAATTAAATTCATACTGTCCACTCTGTGTGACAAAAGAGGTATATTTACGAGAATCCTCATGTACTGGCACGTGAAAAAACCCATTACACAAGTCCAACGTAGTGAAAACACGTCCATCCTGAAGCTTGAGTAAAACATCGTCGATTAACGCCATTGGAAAATTGTCACGAATTATCTTTTCATTAAGTTTTTTATAATCACAACAAAGTCTTTTTGAGCCATCCTTCTTGGCGACAAGCACTACAGGGGACGAGTATTCAGAAACACTATGGCGAATTATTCCCTCCTTTAACCAATCCCTGACCTGCTTATCGACTTTCTCATTGTCCACGTAAGGTAGGCGTCTAGGTCTTTGACGGACCGGTACTTCATCTGACAATATTATCTTCATTTCAACAGGGCTGTTTTCTGGTTTTACGGGCTTATAATTTTCTACCAATCCTGCTATTATTGACCTCACCTCACGGTTCAAATGCGACAGGTCTATTCCTCGTGAAAACTCTTCAATAATATTGCTCGACAGTATCTGATGGAACGTCTTTTCCAATTCATCAATTGCGCTCCCTGAATCCGGAGGCCTGCTCACTTGAGTATCACTATATTTAATGAACTCTAGATTGCGGCTTCCTTTAGTGGAACTACTGCTAACATACTCCTTTTCCGGTGGAACTTCAACCTCCCCTTGACGGATGTCATTTATTGAATGAAAGAAAACTCCTTTCTTCCCTATGCTTGCACTGACAAAATCAAGAACATCACTTCCAATTACACCTTCGTACAGGGTATCATCGTCACGGACTACATGGAAACACATTTCCAAAGGAACGTCATCCAACTTAGTAACAACATTAAATGAACCCAAAGTATATATTTTCTTGCCTCCTATTCCGATCAATTCTTTTATATCGTTTTTCAACGCAACTGGGAAAATCTTTCTGTAGACTTTCTCGCTCATGGTACAAATATCGCTGCCAGAATCAAACAATGCAGTGATATCTTCATTACCGATTTCAACATTCTTAAAAGCCCGATTAAAACAGGTCTGAGAAAATTGCTGGACATTTGAAATTTTCTTCTCTGTTGCCATTCGTGAACCTTTTGCCTCGCATTGATTTGCCTTGTGACCTAGTTGATTGCAATTAAAACATTTGACGGCACTTTCCTTGCAATACTTTGCAATATGATTACTACCTCCACATTTGAAACAACGCCTTTCATCCTTGATTTTTACCGAACTATTCTCAAACTTTGGGTTTGCCTTTATCGTACTTCCTTGATTTGCACTGATCTTTTCATAAATCTTAATTTGCTCACGAAAATCTTTAAAATTGTTTGCTTGGTACAGACAGCTTTTGTTTTGCTTGGAGTCTGGAATGCCCTCAATAATATATTCAATAATACTTTCTTCATCAAGCTGGGATTGACTTGCCAAGGCACACATGCTATAAAAATATTCAATTAAAGTCTCTTTATGGGTCTTCTTTCTATTTTCTAATAGCTTATGAACTTGCTTTGCCGTTAACTTCTCACTAAATTCACTTTTTAGTGCTTCCTTCAGAGAATTCCAATCATTAATGCCTGATTGACTGCTCAAAAATAATTTCGCTGCACCTTTCACTAATGTCCTGCCATATATAAACTTTTGCAAATCATTCCAATTCACTGTTAAGGCATTAAGTTCAAAATCACGTAGCCAGTCATCAACATCCGGAGAACCATTGCCCGTAAATGCTGAAAGGGATTTTTCGATGTCTCTTAATATGAACGCCATGTTTACTGAACTACCAACTGCTGCTTCTCCTACCGAATTTAAAATTGGCGCGTCTTCTGTCTGTTCGTCCCCAGTTATATTGATCGTTTCTTCGTATACAGATTCTTCGTTTTCGTCTTGATCTAGTCTAAAATACGAATATAGTCTCTCCCGTAAAACTGATTTAACACCTGAATGCTGCAGATGTAGCTCTTTCAATTTTTCTTTCAACTCTGCTACGGTTAGGTCTAAGATTTCTTCGCGTTGCATA